ATCGGCTCTCGTTAAACTGTTCTACCGCAAAGTGTTCGACTTCTCGCAGGTCGTCAAGCTACCAAACCAAGGGAGCCATCCCCTCTGCAGATCTGGCATGTATTCGGATCAACCTCAGTGATGTTTCCTAAACCGTCGCCAATAGCGCATTGTGCAGCTCTAGTGCGACGTAAATAAAGTACCTTCATACCTACCATTTCGGGTTAATCTACACTAATATATGTAAAAATAAGGAAATTTTCAAAAGTTAATGAAATTTATTTCACATTCATATAGTATAGATAAACAATCAAATTTACTGAATAAAAAGGAAGTCAAAAATCAGTATTTTTTGTGTCCGCCACGCAGCGTGATGAGAGCCTGTACTCTTGGTGCATTGAATCATACTAGTCATCAGGCTCTGATTGTAATCCTGGGGAATGGCATTCTATATGACTTTGACTTGACGTCAAAGTTCAGTCTTGCTGTGTGCACCATCGAACGAGTGAACGACCGATGAAATCCCAGACACGCTTTGTACACTGAACCGCTTTGTACACGAAACCCTTTGTACACCGAAGAAGATCTGTGTTGTCTGAGAACGGCATTGTCATGTTTATTTCACAGGCATTATCCAGCTGAACTGCAGCCCCCGGAATGCATCGAAGGATGGAGAGGACCCCTGAACGCACATTTTTTCTTAAATCGCAATTGCTATAAAGGTTGCCAGTAACTTGCACTATATGTGATCAATATACACAATGTTTATACTCAATAACTCCCTACACTATGATGCCAGACGTTCATGCAGTATAACTCTGGATAATGCACTGTAAGAACTGACGTTTCCTTCTAACGTCTGACTCGTACTCTTCCAGTATTGTGCTTAAGATTATAGCAATATTTATTGAAAAATACAACTTGTTGTCACAGGGTACGTCATGCACTGTGTTAATGAACCCATTGCAGTCGCAGACGTTTTTGATTCAGCGAGAGAGGAATCCTGCTTAGAGGAATTATTTTACTCAGATAATGCTGCAGCAAATGACAACGAACCGTGAGGCTAGACAGCACAACACGTTCAACCAACAACTAGCACAACTGATCCATCGTTGTGCTAACACACAAGAGAACGTTTTGTACGACCCATCAGAGACAAGCGATCTTCCGTGGCGAAGAACGTCGCAGTTCAGTGCCAGCCATTAGAAGAAACATTGTTGATGAAACTTATAACAATTCAAATATAGAATTATTTTTCATATCTCTTATATTAATTTCTTTTTCATTTTTAAAAATATCAGTATATAAATGTTAAAATTTATATCTGACAGCATGTAAAATCACTTTCTCTCTCCTTTTTAAATTTTTGATTGACATTAACTAAAGTGGGATCTTATATAATAAAGATCTCAAGAGGAAAATATAAGTTTTTCTGCAAAAATGGATGGATAGTCAATATTTAAAGTAAAAAAAAACTAAAAAAAATCAGGAAAAAAGTATTTAAGTTTGTCATAACTTTCGAGCAAGTTGTAATTTTGAAAAAAACTGAGTTTACTGAGTTTCCGAACCTTATAGTTAATGTACAGTGCACCAAAAATAAAGCAGTCCACCTTGAATAACTTTTGTTCTAATGATTAGATCTTCATGTTCTATAAGACTCAATCGCAATGGTTCAAGGGGGTGACCGCAAATATGCTAATTGATTGGCACAGACGATATTTCAAGTTACGAAATCAGACACAAAACGTACTTTCCTTGAAAACATACTTTTATTTGACGGATTCAGATTTCTGGCCCGCAAAATATAGGGAATTGCCGATATCTAGGAAATATGGTCCCCATAGTTTGGTCAGGAGAGCGATCCAAAATGTGGACCCCTATAATGTTAATTTTAATCGCCATGAAGTCTCAAGCCTCTGAAACATGAAATATCTCATTTCATACAGGGGAGCTTCTTATTCTTCATTTGTCTTAATAATGACCCAATTTTAAATAACTAAACCATGTAACCATAGTCACTGCCATTGCACAGGAGAATGGCTAGCCCTGTTCCTTCCAAAGAGATTCGGTCTTGATTTTGAAACAGATCAAAAACTTCTAAAGTTAAGAAACTATAGTCCCGTAGTGGTCTGATCGTTAAGACGCGGTTCCCAGCAGATCACCGAAGTCAAGCATCACTGGCTGCAGTCAGTGTGCGGGTGGGTGACCACTTGGATCAGTCTGCGTAGGGACCGAGGGTGTGCGGTATTGGTCCTCGTTAAACTGTGCTACCGTAAAGTGCTCGACTTCGCGCGCAGGTCATCGGGCTACCGAAGCGGGGATGCAATCCCCTCCGCAGAGGATCAACATTGTGATGGCATGTCTTCGGATCATCCTCCGGGATGTCGCCAATAGCCCATTGTGCAGCTCTAGTGCGACGTAAATTAATAACAACAACAACAAATAAGAAACTATAGGGAGTTGAAAACTGTATTAAACATTTTTGTGAAAGAAAGTATTGTGGAATAAATATGAATTTTTGACAGTTAAATAGGAAAAATATTGTAGTACATTCAAGGCCGGATTTACGAATAAGCTAAATAAGCTGTAGCTTGGGGCCCCGAGATGACAAGGGCCCCCAGATCCTACTTTCCCCCCTCTTTTTTTAAAGATTTATTTGGAGCTGGGACCCTCAGAAGCCCAAAATGCATTTTTTTTCTTTCTTTTTTACATTGTCGGACATAATAAATATAAATAAATGACTGAATAAAACAAAAAACTTCGTTGTCATTAGTAGGGAACATATTATCTTTCAAGCAATTTGAGTATTAATAGATTATTTATAAATAAACAATTTTTTAGTTTAAAAGGTAAAAAAGTTTTTTTTTTTGTTTTTTTTTTTTTTGCCCCCTCATTCGATCATTAGACTATTTAATATCTGTTTCCAGGAATCTGAATTCCCTTTTATTTTACTTTAAAATTGTACAAATGATATATTTAATGCTTTCATGTGATATGCAGCAGTTTTGAATAGCACTTTAAAATATCTAAAAAAGGACGGAAATTGTCAGTTAAAAAAAAAGAAAATTAACTAATACTTTTGAATAAGAATTTAAATAACTACACACGTTTGTTTTGCTATCTCATTCTGCATAGCATTATTTAGAGTAGACAGTTGCGTGTGGGTGTGATGATGACGTAATAAAAGAGGTATACAAAAAAAGCAAATTTCATTTAAGTTAAAATACTCAATATTATATTCTTAAACTCCTCGAAAATGTAGTAAAAGAGGTATACAAATTAACTGTCGCAAATAAATTAATAATAAGTAAGAACGAAACAAAAATGATATCGAAATAAGCTGAATCACTAATGAGACCGGGATGAAAGACATCGAAACCTATTTATTGAATAGTATAACTAGAGGGTGTTTCTAAAATTCTGAAATCTATTAGGCTTTAATTTTTTTTTCTGTCACAAACTTTATCAGTAATTAAAAATAATAAATTCGTTGGATTTCAATATTGGTTCCGTTTTTTCGTTGAATAAATGTTAAACATTAACAGATATTTGTCTTTTAAAACATTTCATTCTATAATGAGATAATTATTCTACAATTGTAATTATCTAAAACTAATTGCTAATTGATATTAAGCTTTAGTGTGTTCCATTGATATGTTGAATGCTCGTTTTGGCTGGATGCCCGGGACAGTTGCTCTTTCACATCATAGCCACTATACACCTTCAAGAGCAGAGCTGACTTTAAACCCATATGACATTTATTCTCTCTGATATTTAATAGACCCTTTAATAAATCCTTAAAAATATAAACCAAAAATTTACATAAATAATGAAAAAAAAATTTTTTGCCCTAAAATTTAACAAATGTACTTAAAATAATTAAAAAGAAAGCAAAAATAATGAAGAAATATTTTCAATATAAACATCAATTAAATAATATCAGCTTACGAAATGTTCCTTTTATTTTTACTAACAGTATTAATATAACAGTCCTCCCCTGCTCCAGGGACTGCTGGATTGGGTTCAAAATTACAAGGCTTCGGAGTTGAATATTAGTAGTCGTAAACTCGAAATTGGGTCGGCTGTGCAATGACTGTTATAAAATAAACTAATAAATTTGCTCGGGATAGCCTGGTTGATAGGGCGTTGGACTCGTGTTCGTGAGAATGGGAGTTTGAATCCAGCCGGCAGAAGAATACCCATGTATAAAAATGGCGACTGGTGCATGCTAAATCTGTCGGGGTCACAAAGTCCACCAAGTTCTCATAACCAATAAATACCTTTGGGTACTAATCTAGCAGTTCCCTTGTCTTCTGGATTGGGTTCAAAATTAAAAGGCTGCGGAGTTAAACATTGTCAGCCGTAAACTCAAAATTGAGTCAGTTGTTCAACGGCGGTTATAAAAAAAAATAAAACTAATAATCGAATTGTATTTTCTTGTTTTCTTTCTAACTCTTTGCATATTTTCTACGCACATTCAAAATTTCTTGTTTCTAAGTCTTATAGATTTTGTAACGTAAAGAAAAAACAATTGAGAAAAAAATTCGCGAAAAAATTATTAAAAATTGCGAATAAAATATACTCAAAATGACTCTAAAAAAAAAAACTCTGTTAAATATATAGTGGCCCAGCACGCCAAATTTTTACTCTGTGCTTAAAATGTGTTTCTTTTGTAACTTTTTTCCCTCGTTCAAAAAATGTGTGCAATAAAAGAAAGGTTCTATATAATAGACAGTTTACTTTAAGTGTATAGAAATGGAATTGAACTTATAAGGGCCCCATCATTTTCAGTAGCTTAGGGCCCCACCGNCCCCCCCCCCCCACCAAGCTTAAATCCGGCCCTGAGTGCATTCCTATACAATTGAGAAGAAAGGAAGGGTCAAGATCTCCCCAAGCGTTGCGATCGTGAATAGTCTTCTACCTGTGAAAAAATCAGTAACAGTGAGAATTTTCTTAGATATGTGCTCGGAAAAATTGGTACACATAAGCATTACTATGTGTTATAAGTTGTAACATTAACAGAGAAAAGCATTCGGAAGCGTTTCGAATTTATCAAGTTAAATTTGTATATTGTTTTGGAAATAAAAATGGATTGATACTGGTCTTTTTTCCTTTCTGATTTTAAATATCTCAATGGAGGAAATTCCTACTAATCTGAACGCTGGTTCGTTGGCGATGCACTTATAATTAAATAATTTATTGAATATGTTTGTATGACTGAATTTTAATTATAAATTTTTTGTATTGGAATTTCTAAACTGAACACAAACAATTTTTCTGCAATTGATTCATATTACTTTTAAATGCTATATTGGAAAAAATATGTTTATAAGAAACTTAGCTTGCTTAGAATCGTTTATATGATAAATATGAACTTAAAATTTTTGCAGAACAGCTATCTTTGTTAGCTTCAGCACGGAAATCATTTAAACTTTCATAAATAGTTTGAAGAATATTTATCGTTTAGTTACATCTTTCTTTTTATTTTTCATTTACTCATAATTATATCATCTTCAGGCCATTGTTCAAAAAGTGCTATTAATATAATTTGCAAAACTAGTTTTGCCCCTATTTAAAGTTAGTTTTAGAATTCATAAAAATTAGCTGTGAGTGAAAAGTATTTTTTATTTATTTATTATATATTTTATTTTGTATAGTTAAAGTATAGTTTGTATAGTTTTGTAAGTTTTGTAAGATAAGTAAATCCTAGCTATTCTTTTAAATCTCAACATTAGACTGTTTTTTCACTTCTCACTTAAAATGTTAATTAAAAATGCTCCTCATAAACTTTTATATTATTAGTCAGGAAGATTTTCGTATTGTTATCTTTGGTAGAATAATCGCAAAGTCTTGGCAACTTCTAGGCAGCTGCTTGTATGAAATTTAAAAAAAAGTGGCGAACTCGAAGGGTATAAATCATAGTCACCCCCAAGCAAACCTCTACTTGATTTTTTTTTTTGCACGTTTAAAATATGCAAGTTTAAAATCTATTTGGCAATTGTAGTTGGCATGACAGATCACGATGGAGAATTATCTCCTTATAGTCTAAAAATGATGAAAAAATAATAAAATTTTAGAGGATCAGTTCCACTATGCAAAAGTTAAGTCCACTCCAAATTTTTCCAGTTTTTGAGAAGTTAATAGTTTGACAGTTGTTAATAGCTAAACAGTTAATTTTTGGATTGATTTAATTAATAATTTTCATTATTCTTTATTTAATAATTATTCTTTTAACGATTAAAATCTTATAGAACAATAAAATACAATTCATAATTTTTACAAAATTAAGGAACATTCCTACTGAATATGATTTAATAGTTCTACTTAAAATGCACCTATCAAATTCTGAATTTCTAAATGAATATTTTATATGAATTTTTATTTTGATAAAAATGTGTTAAAAAAATATTATTAGTGTAACGTGAAAAAATATTTTGCATTTAAATGAAAAGTTTGTTTTCAAAACATTTGAATTCTATCACAAAATCAATTCTTTAGACCTATAAAGAGGAAAGAATCTCTTCTCTCTCAAGATGTAAACCTATTAATCTTTTCAACGTTTTTGAACTGTATTGTCACAACAGTTTAGAGCAGGCTCCAAAGCTCTGTATCATGCCACAGGCCAATTTTCTTTTATGGATAGTTGATGGAATGTAAACAATAAAAAGTTTCCTGAAACCGGAAAAAATTTAGAAAAATTGTGGTATATCATATGTTATGCTTATGAGGCGATGTGCGAATAGGCTTAATAATCTAGGAAGTTTTATTATTGTAATTTGTGTTTAAATTTACGCTTAACTTTACCATTCATAAGAGTTTTCCGTGATTTATAAATTCTAACAGGTCGTGTTTTGAGTGTTATCCATTATTTGGCTATATTTAAGTAAAGTAGTAAAATTTTTTATTTTTGGTAACATTATAGCAAGCTGGTGGAGCCTTCCGAATTCATTTGTTATTTGTTTCAAATTTATTTGTGGTAAAGACAATGCATCTGTTTTAAACCAAATTGAAAGGGAAAGAACCCATTATATAATAAACACTGCAAGTATAATAGTAGGAGATGACACACTTTTTCAAGCTTTGGCATAAAAATCAGTTGGTGGTAGTAATCTGGAAGTTTTACGATGAACTTTACCCCCCTTCCCCGTAACATCTGTGTTTAGCTTTACATAGTCAATCATCCCTTAGATTGGCTATTTCTTCTGTTGTATTTTGGAAACTGGCATTTATGTAAATAATGCTGTTTTTAAGATTCTAATTGTAGCATTCAGAATAATTGTGTACAGATTTCTTATCATAGGCAGAAGAATTTACCAATTTGGTTACTTTTTGAGCTATTAAAGTGTTTCTAATAATTTTTTTCCAGTTTTCTAACTGTATTTTTAGTAGGGAAAACTTATCTTTCTTATTGAACAAAATATTTATTTTCCGTTAAAAAAAAGTGATTGTTGAGTGGTTTAGAAATAAGATAAATATTTTTTGAACTATTATTAGAGAAGGAAAAGCTTTCAGTTTTCTGTCATGTCAATGGGGCTGAGGTTTGTTAATGCTTTGTTGAAAAACAAGCAAAAAACTATAATGATAATTATAATAAAACCTGTATATCCAGTAATTCATTGTGATTGTGTTTTTGCAGTCTATAGGGTCAGGTGGTATAAAGTGGGTACATGGGATAAAGTGGATACATGATTGTTAAGAAACATCTATTTTCATTTTTTGAGTTTAGATAATTGATTTAATATTTTTAGAGACATTTGCTGGGATTGCAACAAGCATTTTTATTTCAGTTTTAGAAACTGATAAAAAAATTTGATGTTTACAAAATATCTGTTTATGATCAATTTATAAAGTATGTTTAAGCTGTTGATGAATTTTCTTCTAATATCACTAAAAATTGTTAAAAAGTATTAATTTTTGTTAAAACTGGTAGATTGGACATCTAAAAAAAACATCTACATAGAGATTTAAATATAAATTTCAAAATTCTATTTATTATGAATTCTTTTCTGAGGTGGGGCAAAGTGGGTATATGGCTAGGCTTAGCTAAACTAAGCTTTTCTTTACTTCTGTGTTAGCCTTAGTAAGTTTATAATGCTCTATATTTTATAATAAAATAGCTAAAAAATTATTTACTTGTTTAATTACAGTCTCACATAGTAATTTTAAATTAAAGTTATTGTTTGAAAACAAAATTTCTTTTAAATTTTATCTTTTAAAGAGAAGAATGATTGAGGTAATAACAATATAGCAGACATATTATACAATAAAAAAAATTACCGATATAGCATAATAGTACAACTTAATGAGCATATTATTTAAAGATATAGATGAGTTTTAGCCAGGGTTGGGTTTTTGACGTCAAAAAGTGGTTTTTGACATGACAAGGGTATAATACTGGTTTAAACCGTCAAAAACCCGTCAAAAATGTCAAAAACTGAAGTTTGCCAAGAAAATATATAAACTTCAAAACTACCAACAGTTGCCATGCATTATATTGAAATTTAATTATACTATAGGTAATCAGCAGGTTTTAAAATATTTTTTAATTAAAATTAAGGTAAAATAACAGATTTAAAATCTCAGAAATTTATATTCAAATGCATGTGCAGAAAAATTTTGCACAAAAATTGTTTAAATATTTATATTTAAAAAATTTTTTTTTTTCTTTTTGATACTTAAGAAAATTAAAAGTTTATTACTATGCATTTTTGACATATAAGGAACATATAACTAATATTTATAAGGAACTTACAAGTTATGTTGTATAAATACAAACTTGATATAAGATACAAGTGTATAAAATTTTTTTTTTAATGTTATACCGAATATCTTTATTATCCAGTATGTTAATTTGAATTTAAAAGTAGTTATATTTATGAATAATGATAAATATAATTCATATTGTTTATTATATTTATTTATAATTATTACACTTATCATTTTAAAACAATTTTTATCTCTTAATTTTTTTTTCTCCACTTGTATTAAGAATACAAATAATGCATATCTTGAAAGCAAGAAGTAATTATTCAACAGCTGAATATTTAGATATTCAACAAAACTATATAGTATTCAGCAAAATGAAATTCACAAGTATTTGGATAAACTAAATTTTCAGCATAGTAAATGAATAGGCTGAATATACTGTAAATCGACACTAACTACTCTGTGTATTTAACAGAAAGCACTTAAATTTGTATTGTCTTATGTTAAAAAGATTATTAAGAAGATTTAAAAGAATATTAAAAAGATTTTTCTTTAAAAGATGTCTAATGTACAAAACTGCTAATGTTTATCTTTAAAAATGTCTAATTTTTAGTATAATCTATACTATACACTAAATTTGGTTATAAATAAATTTCTTAATAATATCACTGCAGATTTTCAATAACACATGAAAATGAATACATAATATTACAAAAGATGTGAGCTTTCAAAAGTACAAGATTTTGGTTACTATTCAAAATATAAGTGTTTCTTCAAAATTTTAAATTTATTTTTTCTAGAACATATTTAGAAACACTATCCTTTATAAAAAATATATAAATTTTATGTATTAATTAAATTTCACATATGAATATAGGTTTTTGACATTTTTGACATTTTTGACAGTGAGGTTTTTGACGTGACGGTTTAAACCATGGTTTAAACCGTCAAAAACTGTCACATGTCAAAAACCTGCCAACCCTGGTTTTAGCACAAATTTCTGCCTTCATATGGCAATTTTTCATGGAAAACAAAAGAATTTCCTTAAAGGAACTAAATTCAATAAAAATACATGCCTGCCATAAATAGTAAAAGCACTTTAGAATTTCACACTAAGGATATTAATTTTTGCACTCTCACTTATATTTAAAATATACCAAGTAGACTTTTCTTGCTTTTTGATGAAATTGTGTAGAATTCAGCAAAATATACTACTGCATCTGAAATGAAACATAATTTTGATAGCCATGTACATTAACTTTTTAATTTAATAATATGAAGAAAAAAAAATTATTTTAGCACTTTTTTTAAAAATATAGGTAATCATGATACATTTATTGAAGAGCATTTTCGTTTCTGAAACAATATTTGTATATGTTTTTTTAGTGAAATATATACCTACTAATTTTAGAACTATACCCACTTTACCCCACTCCTAGGTAAAGTCGGTAAATCAAAACATGTTCTTTTGAATGCATTACTATGAGAAAACAAACAAAATAGACAAGTTGTGCCTCATATTTAGTCTTATAAATCCATTGTTTATAAAATGCATCAAAATTTTCAGTAAAATGAAGTTAATGGGTTGATTGTAGAGCCTTCTTGGAAATCCCCCCCCCCATATTTAGTTTCTAAAATAGTTGATTAATAACTTTAAAAAGTGCTAAAAGAGAAAAAAAGAAGAAATAGAAAAAAGGAAGCGAATTCCGATTTAATGATAAAGATATGCTGTTTTTGTGAGGCTCTTTTTTAGGTAAAGAAATTTCTTTATTTCATAATTACTTCTGTTTTGTTTTAATATAGTTCTTGAAATTATTTATGTTGCCAAATTCTTGGATACCTTGCATATTGAATCTAACTTTGTAGTGAGTGAAGCAAACCATATAAGAATTCATAGTAATCTTTAAGGTTGGTGAGTATTAGGAGATAGAGCCATCTAATTCATTCATAAAAGCCATATTTTTTTAATTAAGTCTGAGAATTTATAAAACTGATTATAGAATTTAAAAGGCGTATAGCATATTATCAAATTAGTATTACCATATAATTTAAAGAATTATACATACTTAAACTTTGCCTTTTACTGGTGTTCATATTAGAAGTTGTCAATGAGTTATGAAAGTGACATATTAGAGATAATTTCTTGACTTTTATTTTTTGATTTATATTTTGATCGATAACATCTTTTTTAATTACTGAACTTGTATATTGAACTTGTATTGCTCAGGGGTGTGTCCAGGTCAAATTTACTACCATTTAGCGATACCTTCACAAATTCAACTTTAGTCAAACACAAAATACTTTATTCTAAAATTTTATTTTTGTATCCAGTTAGAAACGATAAATCTGTATGTTTACCATATTTTTGTGTTGATTTTTTTATATAATTTTTAATTTTCGCAAATTATACCTAAATTTTCACAAAATAAGTACCTCTCAGAAAAAACTGGACAGACCCCTGATGCTTTTTCTTATTACTGCGCCATACTATTTCAGTATAGTACATGCCAGTTACTTTTATATTGATTGATATCTTCGTTACTTTTATATTGATATAACAGTTACGTTTGTATTTCTGTAATTTTTATATCAATGTATCTTTCGCTTTTATGTTGATTTGTATGAATCTATCAGTTAATTTATATTTTTATTTATATAATGTTTGTAAAATTAGTAATTAATTTTTTTTCTGCAGTGTTGCAAGAATATGGTCCATATCCTTTACACAAGACAGCATTTTTGGGTCATAAACAGCATTTGATATTTCTGCTGGAGAGTGGACTATCTCCAAACCAGACAAATTATGATTGTCTTACGCCTTTACACGAAGCTTGTATTCAGAATAGGGCTGAGTGTGCAGAAATCTTGATTAACTATGGAGCGAAAGTAAGTTATCTTCTTTATTTTTCTTATATTGGTGTACAAGTTGACTTTTAATCTCTAATTTTATTGCCCAAAAATGAATTAATTTTAATTCATAAGCAGTTAAGCTCAAATAAAAATACAGTTTTACCAAAACTACGGGTTTTTGACTGAGTGATTTTTGACATGACGGTAAAAACCATGGTATAAACCGGGAAAAACCGTCATGTGTCAAAAACTTGCCAACCCTGATTATAAACAATAAAATTGATATGAATAAGTCTGTATCAATTTATCTTTACATTTTACCCCTTCCCAAAACTATTTTTATTATTTTATTTGTAATTAATTTTGCATTTTCTCTTATATTTTCTTTACATATTAATTTTTTTCAGGAACAATGCTTTACGTTACATTCAGAAAAAAATTAATAATAAGAATGGTTAATATAATTTAATAATTTATTCAAGAGTTTTTCAAAAAATATAACACACTGAAAATTTTTAAAACATACCATAAAGTTATAAATTTAAAGATTTTAGATCATTTTATCATGAACATATTATCATGAACATTTTATCATGATCATATTACCATGATTTACAATTACGGCATGAATTTAATCTAACTGATTCACTTTATATCTAGCTGAATTCTCAAATTTGACCAAAACTCTTTTCCAATATAAGTTACAATTGTTTTATAAATGCTATAAGCAAAAATTTATTACCTATTAAAATTTCTGTTACTTTCCAACATAAATAAACTAATAAACACAAGATAAAAAGACAAAACCTAAAAGAACACAGGAAAAAATTATAAATATCAAATAAACTAAAAAAGAAAAAAATAATTAAATTTTTGTTTTTCGGTTTGAAAATTTCAAAATTTTCACATTCTCTGCTGTACATGTTGTATGCTCGTATGAAATTATTCATACTCATATACTATTTTGTCTGTGAACCATGTCAACCATGAAAACTAGGGGTGCACAACCTTTTTCAGTGAAGGGCCACATGCACAGCAGATTGACCAATGAAGGGCCGCATGCCAAAGTGTTTAGACCGACATATTGAAAGCAATTGTTGGTGGTGATTGTTATATAAACATCATTGTTTATATAACACTAAATTCTTTTTGTCGGTTAACCTTGTAATCTCTTTGCAGAAAATACAATACTTTAAAACGTTTAAAATTAGAAAATGCAAAACTGATTACTTAAGAAGGAAAACAGAATTCGAAAATCAGAATCAATTTATCAGAAAAAATTTAGATAAATTGAAATAATTTAAAAACTATGGAAAAATTGAAATTTTTTTTATCACATTACAAAATACAAAAGTCCATTTAAACATAGATTTTAACGTTAAATTTTTTCTTCATAGAATTAAATTTCAAATAAATAAATATTCTAGTTATTAATATAAATTCAAGTTAAATACTTTGATTTAAAGAAAGTTTATAGGGTTAAAAATGATTAAAACAAAACCCCTTAAGTGGAAAATAAGATTTAGCATTTATTAGGGAATGTACTTTAACTTTCAGACATTTTTATTTTAAATAATAAGAGGCTGAGAGAGGGAAGAAAAAGAAAGAAAGAAAACACATTAAATTTTAAGGAACTATATTCCTTAATAATAAAAAACTATTAAGATACTTGTTTACAACTTTTTATGACGAATATATTTTTAACATGACACTTACTATTTACAATTAATACACAATCAATTAACAATCAATAAAATTTACATTACTTTACGAAACTTATCTTGATTAAATTTTTTATACAGTTAAAATTTAATGATATACAAATCATTTCCCAGCATATAATCATAAATGATATAAAATGCTCCAAGAAGGTAGAAAATGGTTTAAAAAATTTCTTAATGGTTATACTGTAATTTGCAAAATTTTTGAATATTGTGATAATTTTATCTACTTGATCATGTGATATTTTTTGAGCCATTAAATGAAAATGTAATGATTGTATTTAAAGACTACTCTGTAATTTTGAACAGGCCACATTCATTCTGGAAAACAGTCTTTCGACAGAAGCTGTTGTTGTGGGTAGTATTAAACTTAGAGCAAATAACATAATCAGTTTTGGAATTTGTCCTAGATGGTGTTCTTCCTTTCTGGGTTTTTAAATCGCGGAAATACAAATAGCGATGTGTTATATTTTAATTACTTAAATACGAATAGCTATGTGTGATTTTTTAATTGCTTGAATACGAATTGCCATGTGTGATTTCTAAATTGCGTAAATAAAAAACTCGATGCTTGTTTTTCAAATCGCGTGAATACGAATCGTGTGGCTTTTACATTGCGAAAGGACTACTCACAACACTTGATTTTTAAAATGCATGAATATGAATCGCGATACATGGTTTTTAAGACGCGTGCATATGAATTACGAGAAAAGTAGCAACGGATGATATTTTAAACGCCAGAACACCAATCGCGATATGTGATTTTAAATCCCGTAAATACGCATACGAAAATTTTAAATACGAAACGCGATGGATTATTTTTAAATCTCGTTAATGTTAATACGAAATACGATGCGCAATTTTCAGATAGCGTAAATACAAATTACGATGTATGACTTATAAATTACCTGTGACAACAAAAAGAATAGGTGCGATGTGTGTTGTTAAACTTGCACGTGTTCATGGGACTAAAGAATTATGCCGTGTTTTGAATTATTTTTTTTTGCAAAACGGACCGCGTTTAATATACACACATCTCGTTTTTTTTCCTGGGAAGGTGTTGATTTGGCTAAGATACGTAATTACTTTTTAAGTTACGAAAAAAAATTAGAACTGAATCGAATTTCACGAGTTGTAATATTATGTGAAAATATCAGGTATATTCTAAATCACAAATAAAAATGCAGCAATAACGGGAAAGAAGAAAAAACACGTTCGAAAAACCTCTTAAAAAGTGCGTGTTAAAATCGGTACAACGCAAATGATAAAATCGGCACGAACAGAGCACGTAAAAAATAATTTTTTTAATGCGCGATTCAAAACTCGCTTGCTGTCATAGTATTAAAAATATCATAATCTTTTTAAATCACGGGGAAAACGTAATAACTATTAAAACAATAACCAAAATACTTTTATATTTTAGATGAAATTGGAGTAAATAAAGTCCATCAAAATTTTATGTAATTTAAATGCGGGATTTGAAATTAAAATGTCGCAATAGCGTATAAAAAATATCGGTACTTTCAAAACCTTGTATAAATGTGTAGCAATAATTTCTAAAATAACGATTGAGGGCCGGGATAGCCTGGTCGGTAGGGCGCTGGGCCCATATCCAAGAGGTCGTGGGTTCGATCCTCGCCGGCCGAAGACTCCCCGTGTAGTAAATGGTGACTGATGCACGTTAAATCTGTCGAGTCTCAAAGTCCTCCATGTTCCCACAACAAATCAATACCTCTGGGGGTACTGATCCAGGAGTTCCAGGAGTAAGTAGTCGTAAACCCATGAAATTGGGTCGGCTGTTTAACGACGGTTATAAAATAAAATAAAATAACGATTGAAAAATAATTTGATTTGCGATAAAATCGTTGCAAATAAGCCACGTCAAAAAATGGTTATCTAAATGAGCGATTCTTTACTCGCGATTCGTAATAATATCGTGCTAAAATATCGAAGTTTTAAAAACCGGGCGGAAATGTGCAGCAATAACTTTTGAAGAAAGGATCTAAAGTCATTCAGATTTTCCATGAAGTTTGCATAAATAAAGCGTTTCATAACTTTCAAAAATCGCTATTTCAGAAACTACTTGAAAATGGGTAGCAATAACTACCAAAAAGTCATTGGAATCGGCACATACGAAAAGCGTCAAAAGTGGTAATTAAAATTCGTAAATCGTAATAATGATGTATTAAAAATATTGGGATTTTTAAAACTATGCTGAAATCTGTAGCGTTAACCATCGAAAAACTACATTGATTGAGATTGGGTGCGTCAAAAACTTAAAAGTGTAAATTTAAATTACAGAATTTTTTTTATTTTTTTTTCAAAAACAAATATTTTAATTTTTTTTTCATTTTGTTCAGATTGCGGCCGCGGGCCGCACATCGAGGGTTGGCGGGCCGCATTTGGCCCGCGGGCCGCAGGTTGAGCACCCCTAATGAAAACCATGTCAATATGCCATTATTAATTTTTATTTATACATCAACAATTTTAAGCATACATCATAAGTAAGTAATCAATTAAGTATTAGTATTAACAAATAAGTATTAAGCATGAATAAGCATTGAAGTTGTTATTCACAGATACGCAATGATGAAGTTAATGCAGTACATTATTATTCAGAAAAGTATTATTATCAGATGTATTATTGACAAGTCAGCAATAAGCTTTTGAGCATGTCTACTTCTTGTTCAAACAATGTTCAATTATGGTTTGTGAGTTTAAGTTTGAAGATTCTACTTTATCAATGCTAATTTGCATTAAATAATTTCTTACCTTAGTATGGGAAAATTGCATGGCATCAAATCCTTTCACCCTTGCAGATGTATCGAGAGCAATGCCAAACATTATCTCCTCAAGTCGGCGATTATTGACGAGTTATTTCCGTATGCAATTAAAAAGAGATAAGTACACCACAAGCCAAAGGTTTGAAGAGGCTTCTTGCATTTTTAGCAACAGTGACCTTGAGATTTGACCTATAATTTTTTACATAACAAATCTCTTCATCACTTAAGTTTTGCCTTAAAGGATTTCATCATATTCATATAAATCCAAAAGAAAACCGACTTTTAAAGTTTTTAAAACCTGGTATCAACACAATTTAAACCTCATTTTTCATTTCTTTCCCCATGAAGTCAATGCCTTTAAAGAAATTTCATCTTACATTTTCACTGAAAGTTTTCATATGGGGTCCATTAACATAGTATGGGAAAGTGCCCTCAATGCTTTGAATTCTAAACATGTAGTGTAAGAAACAAATTTATGGGACCACTTAGTTGGGATTTAATAGTATTTCTATTTATTTTTTTGCATGACTTCAGCACACAGGCAATTTAATTTTTGAGCCCTGGTATATTCTTACAGAAGGAGATGTTTTGGTTCAGGAAATCTTAATTTTTTCTTATATTAAGTAGACAAATATGTATGTAAAAATTTTCAGATTTTTTCAGCTTTGATATATATATATATTATAAAAATAAATAAATAAATATTTTAGGTGAATGCTTCCAGTGTGGATGGTGGAACTCCTTTATGTGATGCATGTGCAGCTGGGAGTATTTCGTGCGTTGAGTTGCTCATGCGAAAAGGAGCAGAAGTCAATCCACCACTCGCTTTGAGTACCCCCCTTCATGAGGCATGTTTTAGAGGTGATAATATTACATGTATTTATATGGTTAAATTATTAGAAATAATTACTTCATATAGTATGTGTTTAAATTATTATAACATTATATTAAATTTGTTTGCATGGCGTGAGCATACTAATTATCTGAATCTTTTTCATTTGAAGAGTGATTCTTGTTGCCAATTAATATCAAATTTAAAAGCAAAAAATCTTTATAAGTTTAGCAAAGTCATTGTAACAATAACTTTTTTGTGGAAAAATTTAAAAATTAATGAAGACTTTTCTATTTGTGTTTAAAATCTTTCTAATTTGTAGTTAAAATTTTTTTCATTTATCATTAAATTTAGTTTTTATGTCTATTGAAATGACTGATGTATATATCTTTTTTCCTGTTTTATATTTGTATTTATTGTAAATGCTTTTAAACTACTTAATGTTTTTGTAGTTATCTTAACATTGTATAAAAATAACTTTGTTTAATTATATTTATGATAATTTATTAGCATTACATCTTCTTGTTTCTTTAAAGTTATTTTTCTATTGATCAATATATTTTATTAAATTCTTTAGATCACTTTATTATTTGAAATATTTTTTAAATATCTGTTAGCATCAAACTGCTTAGTAAATTTATTACATACTATCACATCATGTAACTTATGATTAATTAAATTAATTTAACTTATGAAAGAAATAGTTAATTAGTTAGTTTACAATTTTCCTTTAACCATCCTTGATGTGTTTTGCCCATCCACCACCTTTCTGATTTTGATTCAAGGTAGAAATCTTCTCATAGCTAAAAGGATAATAAGATAGAATAGAAAGAATGTCAGAAAAGCTACAAACAGCTTATAAACAAGTATCTTAAAAAAAAGAAAGAAAAAACTAAATTTAAAAAAAGTTTGTTCAAGCTTTGTAGGAAAAAAAAATGATTTTGATCTGTTAGAAAAATGTATATATCAATATTTTCTTAGAAAGAGTAACTTAAAATCCAGGATAATTTAGCACTATCGGTATAAACAATTTTCACGGGCCAGCAGAAAATGATGTAGGAAGCAGGATAACCTACAAAACAGACAACGTTAAACCAGAGTTCCTCTGTATTTTTAACCAGAAATTGAGAAATAGTTTATAAATCTTTTAGTTTATAGGGCAATCACACTTAAAAAGGTTCAATACTTTGCTTGTAAAATTTACCTTTAATGGACTAATGCTGCCTTATAAGTAGCATGACACTTTTACTTAATGCTGCATATATGTTGGCAGAATTTATCTCAAAATTTTAAAATTTTAATCACTCTCGTTGCTGTCCTATTTAAAATTAATTTTTATGATTGATATGTTAATAAATTTTCACTAAGATATTATTTTCTTTCCTATATTTGATAAAACACCACAGTTCTCTTTGTATGAAAAATAGCTTGATGGGGAGTAAACGTAAAATACTACTTCACCATTAAGAGTCTAAATGAAAATAGAAACCTGTTCAAATTGATATGTATATATTGAAGCTGGTGCATGAAACTTATTAATTTTTTAATATTTTAAACTATTTTTTAATTTGTTTTGTTATATAATTTAAGGGAATATTGGTTGTATCTTTCAGTTCGTATTTAAAAATTGCTACTTAATATTTTGCCTGTTGCTATAGCATAACATCATTACATCTAATATGCAAATTTAAATTAGAATTATACTCTGGCAAGTGTTTAGTAAAATTATTTTTCAGACTGATGTTGTTATTGCTGTTTTAAAATATTTGTTTATTATTGCTAGGGTTTTTTAAAATTAACAAAAAGTATATAAATTTTTTTTTTTTAGTTTAACAAAGTTTTTTTAAATCAAACTTTAAAGCATAGAAATGAAAAAAAATTGTTAAAAATATTTAATTAACTTTTAATTTAAAAATTTTGATAAATTGAAAATTTGATTGCTGAAGAGGCTCATTAAAAAAAATGATTCCTCTTTGGAGATAATTTCTCAAACACTAACGCACTTCATTTATTGATATTTTGTACAATTCATCCAGATAGAAATAACCGATGATTGAATGAAGGAATCTATTATGAAATTTAAATAAATTTTTTTTGCTGCGTTATATGCAGACAAAATTGCATGGTGCGTAGTATTTTTAAAAAGTGCTTAAAGGTGCTTATTTTCGATTTTCGTTTTTTTTAAAAGCCCTTAAAGGGGCGGCTTTTTTCATTAGGTGTTTTTTAAAAAGTGCTTAATTTTCCCTTTTAGGAAATTATATATTTTTCTTTACCATGTCAATTTTCGCAATCTATTATGCAAAAGCGTGCTTTTCACTTTGTTCTATTCAAAGTTTTCACAATTCATTCAACCACAATCCATTTCGGCATACCGTTGGTCCATGGCGCGTGAAAGTGCCAATCATTTTACATGTTTGATGAAATACTTGTGAGTCCACATGCTCATCTACTGAGCTGAGTTAGGTGAGATTCTAGCACTCTCATTTACAACTTTTCTGCATTTTGCAAGATATTCTCAATTTCAGGTATCATTTTCCACCCTCTGAAATCGAACCAAAAAATCTCTTGATCTTTTTATGGTGGCTAATATAATCAAGAAAAGAGTTCTATGTCAGAAACTAGTTGTTTTATCATGATCATGTAAAGACTTTGAATATTATTTTGCATTTTGTTAATGTATATAGTGCTTAAAAATTTTTTTTGAGTGCTTAAAAAGTACTTAAAAGGAGCTTATTTTTTGTTGAAGGATTTGGCTACGCTCCCTGAATTAGATTTTTGGTATTTTGATGACAATGACATGAGCCGCTATATTACAGTTCACTTAGCTGCCATGGGGAAGGACTAGGGTGCAATTCTCAGTTGCAGCTTGAAGTTAGGCCAGCTCTGATTAAAGCAAACATGCCTCAGGGATGTAAAAATTGTGTGTGCCCAATGCCGACCTCATTGTTATAATCATGCTGTTGGTCATGAAATTGTAGAGCTTTAAACTCCATGACCCCCAGGACTACAACAAGCTCTTGAGAGAATGCTTTACTTTAAAAGTGTGATCCAGGAAAAACTTTGTGTTCAATATGTAGCCAATTCTATCTAAATGTCAAATATAAGTATAAAGCTATATATAAGAGTATATATGGAATTCATGTATAAATTAGTTATATTAATATAAACACTTTAATAAACCAATCCATATAAGTTATGAGACTTGTGTATACTGACTTCAAAAACAGAGTTATTTTTACTCCCAGATGTTTCGTAGTTGTCACTGAGTAGCTAAATTAAGTAATTTTTTCCCCCAGGTAGTCTTGATTGTATGAAAATGCTGATAAATGCAGGAGCTCAATTAAATGCAAATGATTGCCACTTTGGTACACCTCTTCACGCGGCTACTGCTATGAATCGTGCTGAATGTGTCAAATTACTCCTGCAAGCAGGTAAGGAATTTTTTTAACAGCTTTTTATAATTTTAAAATAAGCATTGCAGTAAGTTTAAATTCAAACTTGCCTTAATGATCTTATTTTGTGCTAAAGTTACAGTACATAAATGTATTAAATTTTTATGTCAAATTAATTTGATATGAATTGTTATTGGCTATGCAGAATGTTTCAAAATAGTGTGATTAAATTGAGACGGTGAAAAAGGCAAACAAAAACAATAAAAAACACATAGAAACAATGGCGTCAGGGAGAAACTAGTGTTTTGCAAATCATGTATTTTACAAATACAATAAAAAAATGTTGCCCTTTTATTTGTATTAAATTTCCACACCTTTTATATTTTTGACCTATTACTGTATTAGGAGATGATCAAAGTTTTTTACCCAGGCAACTGTAGATAATCATTACATCAAAGCTGCAGAGATCTTAAATGCAGAACACTTTCTATGTCTATAACAAATCTATGTCTGTACCAGATTTATTTCAAGCAAATCATGCTGCTGCGATAACTCTTTTCTATTAAGCCTTCCTGTGATGAAAGAGTTTTTTTTTTGAGTAAGTCCCTTTAAAAAAACCAATTATATAACAACAAAACCTAATAATTAAAATAAAACCATTATTAAAACAAAACCTAATATATGTATGCAGCAAAGTTTTTTTCCGGACAACTGTAGATAACCATTACATCAAAGCTGCAGAGATTTTAAATGCAGTGAACTTTCTCTGTCTGAACCACATCTATATCTATTTCAAACAAATTATGCTGCTGCAGTAACTCTTTTCTATTAAGTCTTCCTGTGATGAAAGAGGTGTTTTTTTTTTTTTTTTTTTTTTTTTTTTTTTTTTTTTTTNTTTTTTTTTTTTTTTTTTTTTTTTTTTTTTTTTTTTTTTTTTTTAAGTCATGAAAAGTAAAATTAAAAATGAAAAAACAAAAAACAACTGTTCCAATATGCTATTTCGTTTATATTTTTATGTCTCCAAAAAAGAAACTGTTTTTGAAACTTCATATTTGTGCATTAAACGATTTTTAAATTATAACATCCTAAGGTACTTTTGTATCATGATTTTGCTTTAGTTCCTGGGATCTGTCCAGGACAAATTTACTACAGTTTAGCGGTACCTTCACAAATTCAACTTTAGCAAATACCGTAGTTTCACAAATGCTTTTTCTAAAAATTTTATTTTTATATCCCGTACAAAGCGATAAATCCATATTTTTGCCATATTTTTGTGTTGATTTTTTAATATAATTTTTAATTTTCACAAATTATGTCTAAATTTTCACAAAATAGGTACCTCTCAGGCCACCTAGACAGACCCCTGAGTTCATAGAATTGTAGCTTATTAATTGTTGCAGTTAATAATTTAAAAAAATTTTATTTTTGAATTTGTCTTTATGATGACATTTAATGTTTTCATAAACTTTATCATAAAATTTATTTGAGAACCGTCTTGCTACCCTTTACTATATTGATCCTCTTTGTAAGTATGTTTCATATATAACTTTATTAGGTTTAATCTTCTTCCATAAAGGGAGTTGCAGGTTTGTGAATAACATTTTATACGTATAAGATTCAATTATTTTTTTCAAACAATGAAAATTGTTTGTTTCACTATTATTTTCCTACACTAATAAACCATGTATTAATTTAAAAAAACAAATTTAAACTTTAAACAGAGAACCTAATAAAAGTTAATTTGTTAATTTATTATCCAGTTTTGTGTTTATCTCTTTATTTTGAGCAGTTGCTAAGTAAATAGGATTCATTTTAACGTTTTGCTTATGGCTGGTACATCTAATGGACTGAAATAAGGGTTCTTGTTATCATACTGTAAGAAAAAGGTTAATTTCAGTTATAGAATAAGAAATATTTATTTATTCATTAAATATTCATTTATTTATTCATATCAGTGAGCTTTCCTAATTTTTTTAAAGTCCAATTGAGTTTTAACATCGTTTAATTTTAATTTTTTTAAAATTAGGTGCAATAAAGCCAGCTCTAGTGTTCAATTAAATTTTTAAAGGATGGATTGTGCTTAATAAGCTTTAGAAATTCTATTCAATGCATTTATAGAGTTAGATTATAATTTATTTTAAATGTTATGGACTATTTCAGATAGTTATTCTTGGAACATTTTATACTCTTTTTGTAAATATTTCTTTGACAATTATCAGCTTTATATAGATAATCAAATTTTTCATTATATTTTTTAATTTTAAAAATAATTTATTAGCATCATCAGTTTTTGAATGTAATAATCTTTAAAATTTATTATTGTATTGTGTGTAACTTCAGCCATAATTCAATTCAGCCAATTTCAATTTTTTCTGTATTTATTTTTTCTATTGCCGTTTTTTCATACGTTATTGCATAAAAATTTCTGTAATAAGATATTTTTTATTGCAACTTTTTGTTGTTTATACAATAAATTTTTCAGTTATACATATTGAAGAGATTTTATTTAAAATTTATCACTTTATTTTTGTCTTATAATAACACATTTAAATTTGGAATTAAAGTTATTCCTATTTTCATAATATTTTACTGATGTTCATTGTATTTATTCATTGTTTTTACGTTGTTCATTGTCATTATAATGAATTATAGTTATTCCTATTTTCATAATATCTTAATATTTTAAATGATTGTTTTCAATTGCTCCTTTTGATTGTTCTTCTTCTGCTTAGTGCTCAAAATTTTTGCAAAAAATATTGCCTCGTTTTGTAACAATAAAACATGCAGTTTTTTAAATTTATTATCAATTTAATGTATTTAAATCCTTAAACGATGCATAGTAAAGGCGGTCTTGTTTCTACTTGTTACAAGTTTAATTTTGTGCCCAGTTTCACTTTTCATTCTATTCATGAAAAACTTAAGTTCCAATTTTTTTCATTCTTCTTCAAATTTATTTTCATTTTTTTAAAATATGTTTCAATCTAAAAATTATTGACAAGATGTCGTTGTGCGAAGATTTGTTAGTATTAACTAAATATTGCTTTAAACAATTTCCCCACATTACTTTTTTTAAACAATGGTATATGTTTTCTTGTTTACTGATTCAGTGAAAAATATAATTTATGATTAAGAAAAATAAGAAGTTCATCTCATGATATATAATAAAAAATAAAAAAATTATTGAAAAAAATGGCCATTTTGCCAAAGGTTAATTTTAAAGAAAATAATTTTTTTTTTCTTTCTCTTTAACCACCATATCAAGCCACATTTCAACTTTCTTCTGAGCAAACTAGTTTTTCTCATAATATTGTGTAAAAAAATGTACACAAGAAACAATACATTTCATTTCCACATTACATTTTCACAAATTATTTCCTTGTGAAAGTGCTAGACCATTGGTTCCCAACCGTTAGTTGCCTCCCTCCCCCCTCCTAGAAGTTGACTTACATTTTATACCTCCTTTTTGATTGAAAACAACCATACATTGTTGTAAGTGAGCATCAATAAATTTGAATATATGCTAAATTGTACATGATTTTAATTTAAATTTAAATGCAAATAATGAAGCAATTATATCCAGTCACTCCAGAAAGCTTAAGAAAAAAAGTGTGTATCCCTTTCACTTTTGTTTCTTCAAAAGGGGGTGATATTTGAAGCGAAATAATTGAAACAAGAGTACATTTTTTTAAAAATAATTTTTTTAAATGTAATCTGGGAAAATTGAAAACATTAACAACTAAGATGTGAGAGAAAAAAAACTCTGAAAATTTGAAAACTCAATTGTTTATTTTTATCTCTTCAATGACTGCCTTTTCCTTGGTGTCTTCCAGTTAAAGATTGAATATCAGGTTTTTTGCTCGTCTGATTTAAGCTTAAGTCTCCTTTGAAGCAAATGTCCAACCCACTTTTTTGCTTTGTGAGAAGATGAACGACCAAACTAAATTTTCTTTCTACTAAATATGTTGATGGGAACCATATGAGGAGTGTTTTGCTGACTTTTTTATGATCATTAATTGCAAATAATTTCTTTTGAATACTCATTGCCCACTTGAGGATTATCGCCCCGTTAAGGTGATCGTTCCCAGGTTGGGAATCACTGTGTATATATACTTAAGGATACTTTTGAACTTCTGTTTGTAATTTTTTTAAAGTAGTTATATCTTTTGTAAAAAAAAAAATTGTATTTATACAATTTTGTTGAGATTTCTGATTAGATTCATTTTATTTATTTTAACAAATGTCTTTTTTCCCCAGGTGCTCTTGTTAATGCAGCGAAAATTCATGAAACGGCTTTGCACATTGCTGCTCGAGAAAATTTACCAGACGTTGTAAAGATTTTGCTAGAATATGGAGCTAATGTGTTTGCTAGTAATAATCAGAACAAGTTGCCTATAGACCTTTTGAGGGAGCCTATAGGCCCGGTATATGATCTTTTAAGTCATTATGCAGGTATTATATTTAAATGTTTTAGTTTATTACGGTCCTAATGTTTTAATTATACAGTGATGATCTAATTTAGAAATAGAAAAATTAGACATTTAGATGTAGAAGAAGGAAAAACTGTTTTGAAAGCATTACTGAAATACAATTATGTTATGGTGTTCATTAATTTGTTATGTTATTGGTTAATAATTAAGTGTAATATATGATAAGTAAAAAATAACTTGCTGTATACACTCATTCTTAATACTACTACTAAAGAGAGCCTTCATGTATGTTAGTGTCTTTGAATTAAGTGCAATGAAATATTAAATTTAGTGCAATGAATTATTAAAATTAAATTTATTTGTATGATGATTTTTTCAATTTAAAATATTTTTAAATTGAAAAATCATGGTGCAACTAAATATCTGAAATCAGAAAGCCATTTTGGCGTATTTTAAAGTCTAATGTAATAAGGTGTTTTTTTCATTAATATTTAATTTAAATGGAATCTTTATTTTCAGCACAACCTGCTATTTTGAAAGATTTGTGTCGCCGTCGAGTACGCCAATTGTTAGGAAGCCGTAGAATAAGATTTTTGACTGAACTTGAAGTTCCTAAGACTCTGTTGCTTTATTTAATGCATTTAGAGTGATGGTGATTTTGCTAAATTATTCATATTTTTGAATTATTATTTTAGGAGTGTAAATAAATGTCTGCATATCTGAAGAATTATATTGTATATTGTTATTCACTTTTCCTTTATTAATTTATTTTTGCTTGAAAAATGACACTGTTAACTTTTATATACTCATGTTATTTATTTTCATTTTTATTTATTTATTTATTTTAAAATTTTTTTTTTTAAGCAATTCTGTATATTATTATTTAGTTACTGTTTTTCCTTTAAACTATTTTATTGTTACCTGAAATATAGTCTTTACAATTAGAGCAGGCATTTCAGTGTTGTTGAGAATTTAGTGTAGAAAATATGAAACGCTTTTTCCCTGTGATTAAGTTTTAAAATTAAACATATCTTCTGAACAAAAAATCCTCATTGCATGCATTTAAAATGTAAATGTTTTTTTTTTTATTTTTTAAATTCTGATAAGGCATTACCATGTTAACATTACTACAAAGAGCACGTTAATATATATTCATGAGAATTGCATCTTTTATTATTTTTGAAGAATATGTTAATCATTTTTTATATATCTCCCCCCCCCCTCCCCCAGAAAAAACGCCCAACTTTTGAAATGAAGTCATAAAATAATAAGGTGTAAGTATATCTTTCATTCCATAACATTATTAGTTTATTATTTTTTAACACTTTGTCGATTGATCGATGAGATCTCTCTGATTGGCAATAGTTGTGTTTTTTTGAGGAGCAGAGTTAAAATTCTCAATGTTTGGGAACTATTTAAACTTCTCTCAAAAGAACACAGCTAATGTAATATAACACAATGCTGTATATATGTTTTTAAAAATATTTTCAAAATATTTTCATGGTTTCGCCCACTTTGCTTCTTTGCTCATACTAAATTATCACCACAATTATTTGAAAACATATGCAATCAAAATATATGTGAAAGCTCTTAGAGGCTCTTGAGAGCATTTGAAATATATCTACTTAGTAGATATGTGAAAGCTGTGGAGTACCATCGATAGCATACTTCAAAGAATTTCTAAACATTATTATATCAAGTATCAAATTTATGTCATTTGAGTTTAAAACAAATGAATTCTAATTGTTGCATCATTATTTTGTTTAAATGCTTGTAAAAGTTTTTTTGTTGCTTACATTTGTAAATTTCACTAGTTATAACTGTTAAAAAATGCACAGTGGGTAGTTTATACTCACGTATAATTTGTTCGGTCAGCAAACTTTTAAGTATACAGATTGTGAAATATTGATGATTCTTTGTCCATCATCACACCAATATTCAGAGTGCACAACCCACAACTTGCTATCAGGGGACAAATTGTAGATTGTTACCCTTACATGGTCAATGTGCAGCCTCCTGTCGTGTAATAAAACGTTACATAACTGATATAATAATTTTGTAATGGTTTTTCAAATAAATTTAACTAAACTTAAAAAAATTCATTCAAGGCAATTAATTCAAATTAATAAAGGTATAAATTCGAGACATCAAAAATTTTAAATCCTTGGACATTCTCATTCTTTTATTTTCTACTTACTTTTTTTCCCTCTTTTTTTTTAAAACAAAGAAGATTGTCTTAAACCAAAACATGTTAAAAAAATGGTAGGATTTATTTTAAAATCAAGGAAGTAATTTATGTACATTAAAAAAAAAATTATGTACCGAAATCAAATAAACTTTTACATACAGAAAGCTTACATTATTCTGTCATATGAAATTTTTTTAAAGAAAACAAAGTATGTGAATCCTTGATTTTCAATTAAAAAATATTATATATATTTTTTGTAAATATTGTATACCTAATTTGCTGTTCTTTGTCCCTTAATTTTATTAAATAATTCTATTAAATTATATTGTTCTCATATTAAAGAATATTTAATTTTTTATCAATTGATATAAAATATGAATTTATTGCAGTCCCCTAAGGCTAGAATATTTTTTATTTGTCCATTTCCTAAAAAAAACAGGTTGTGCACTCTTATAAACATGATTGCCTTAATTTCTGTCATACTTTGGCAGCAGCAAAAATTTGTTTGTTGTTGCTCTTATTAATCAACATGCCTTAATAACCTTAGATGTTATCATTTTTGTTATTTTAAAATGACTTGTTACATCATGCATTTTGATGCATCATATTTTTTTCTTGTTTCCTGATTTATGTAACATAATACTATATATAAAAGTTTATTTTATATTTTGAAAGAAAAATAACTGTAACCTATCTATTAAATCTTTTAATCAACATTTTAATATTATTATGGAAAGCAAATTACGTTTGTAAGTACAGAAAACTAAATTTCTGTCTTTATTACAAATTACAGTTAAAAATGGCATTATTATGAGTTGCAATTTGTGTTGCAGTAGTTTGTTTTTCTTATATCTAGTTCATTTTGCCTTAATTGCTACAGCATTTGTTTGAATATACTATTTGTTAAACATTTAGAGATTTTTAACATTTTTACTTTTCATTGGTAATTGAACATTCAATTGTAATATTAAAAGAATATATTAATAATTTGATTATCATAAATTTTTGTTTTTAAAATTTTTATTACGAAGAAAGAAATTGCTACTTTGCATACTTTGAATTAAATATATATGACTGTGCAAATATTGTCATTTAAATGTTAAAAAATATGTATGAACATGTTTTTTGAACAAAAGGAAAAATAAGTTAGTAGTTTTAGTTGTTTAGTTGACAAAAATTAGTTAGTTGAGAAATTAGTTTAAAAAAAGGATGGGGCACTGTGATATGGGACAATCCATATATATTATTATCACTTTATTGGTCGAGGAAAGATTTCACTATTGGGACATTAACTTATATTTGTATAATTACTTTTAAATTTTTGAAAAATGCTTTCAAGTACACAAGATATATTTATAATTAGTGCAAAGGGTTCTAATTTTGTTATTTGAGTTATTAAATAAATATTATGCCTGTGAGTTTTAGACACATAAATTAATGTAAACTTGGAATGCATGTACGCGCAATTACTAAATACTTATGTTTAGTGCGAAAAAAACTAACAAAAAAAAAGCGGACCACCCAGAATAAGTTTTGATCTAATGATCGGATCTTCACGTTCTAGCAATCAATCTTAATAGCTCGAGGGGTGACAACAAATATGCTAAATAAAAGGTGCAAACGATATTTTTAATTTCGAAGTCAGGTACAAAAATCTACTTTCTCTGAATAAACATGCCTTTTTTCGACGGTTTCGGATTTCTGACCCCCCGAATTATGGTCCAGATAGTTTGATCATTAGAGGGCTTTAAAATTTGGACCCCTGAATGTTAATTTTACTTTTTGCTATATCTTTAGAACTATTAAGATAATTTCAAGCAAAATATAACTTTCTTTCATTATTTATTATTTTTTATTTAATAATAGTCGAAAAATTTTGAATTTTAAGGTATGGAATTTTTTGCATCACTTTAAAGAGTGCAATTTTAAATGGCAAAATACAAAATTTGAGCTGATTCGGTTGAATAGTTCCTGAGAAATTGAATCTTAAAGTCAGATATTTAAAATTCGATTTCTCAACTAATCTATCGATTTTGCTCAAATTTTGTAATTTGTTTTGTAAAATTATGTTCTTTCAAGTATATACAAAATTTGTATACCTTACAATCTAATTTTTTTTGACCATTATTAAATGAAATAATATAAAATAATAAATATTTACTAAAAGTTATTTTTTGCATAGGATTATCTTTGGATGAACAAATTTTATAATTGTGTGCAATTAGCATACTTGTATTAATTGTGTATTGATTAGCATATTTGAGCTCTCCCCCTCGAGCCATTAAGATTGAGTCCTAAAACAAGAAGATCCGATCATTAGACCAAAAGTTATTCAGATTGGCCCTTTTTTTTGGCGCACTGTATTATTATGCTATGGGTAATACTTGATGGATAAAAAATGGCAAAAAAAGTTTATTAAGGTAAGATTTTTCAATAAATAATATCGTTTTAACATGTAAGGGTGAAGTAAAAAAAGTGATAATCATATACATTTGTACATTCCCCAAAGTTTTAAGAACATGAATTGTTAAATTGAAAACTATTTTTCATTTATTTTAATATTAAGTACAGATTTTTTTTTTTCAATTGCTTTAGTTTTGGTTTAGTGTTATAAAGTGTAGAATTTTGAAAATTATGTTTTTCTGTGTTTTATACATTAGTTATTTTAGTTAAGTTGTTTCTGTTTAAGTTATTTCATTTTGCATTGAATTATGAAAATTTTATTTTTGTTATTGATTATATCTCTTAGACAGTATGTATATTAGTTACAAACTCTCCATTGTGCAATAAAATTGATTTGGACTCTTAATTTGCTTTATAAACTGGTCATTTTAATAGCACATACAGAAATTGTTTGATTGTTGTAAGGTTCAGAGAAATATAAATGGAATACTGTGTTTAATGTTTTTAAGAAATTAAAAAGAATAAATAATATTTGCTAGAACAGATGTAAGTTCCACTGTGACTGTAGTGAAATGAAACTATATGTTCGCTGATGATTGATTGGTTGTTGCTGCTTTTAGTAGTTTTGCTTACCGTGTCTTTGTTTTGACTTGTGATTTATGAAAAATTTGGTTTTTTACAATTTGGCATTTTTAGCCTTTTTTTTTTCTATTGTAGTCTTCATTTGTTTAGGTTAAGGGTTTTTAATGTGTGGCCTGTGGGCCAATGGTGTTACTCTGATGGTATTTTTAATATACCGACTCAGTCAAATTGTTTCTGACAGGGCTGGAAGAAAACTGGGCTTATTTTTAAACCAGGTTTTTTTAAAGTTTAGACTGGTTTTTTTCTCTCTTTTTTTCTAAGAATAATGTTTTAAAGCTTTAATTGAAATGAACTAAACCATTCTGAAGTATTTTATAGTATTTAATTATTCTATTAAACTATAAATTGATGTTTCAATAAATATTCAAAAATATTCTAAGATAAATTCTATTCATGTCAGTTTTTAAAATAGTACTGTACACTTTTCTTCTGATATCTAAAGTTTTTAGAAAGATGCAGTCTAAAGGCAGCATGTTTTTGTAAAAAAAACTGAC